GGTGTTGACAAGAGCCACTACACTGGTGAGCTGATCAAGATCCCTCTTCGCCGCAAGGCCTACTGGGAGGTCGACCTCGACTCCATTGCCCTTGGTGATGACGTTGCCGAGCTGGAGAACACTGGTGTCATCCTTGACACCGGTACTTCCCTCATTGCTCTCCCCTCCAGCCTTGCTGAGATGATGTAAGTTCCTCGGGTGAATTGTCCACGGATATGATGCTAATAGTTGCACAGCAACGCCCAGATTGGTGCCAAGAAGGGCTGGACTGGTCAGTACACCATTGACTGTGCCAAGCGCTCCTCTCTGCCCGATGTGACCTTTGCCTTGAGCGGCCACAACTTCACCATCAGTGCTTTTGACTACACCCTTGAGACCCAGGGCTCTTGCATCAGTGCCTTCATGGGCATGGACTTCCCCGAGCCTGTTGGTCCTCTGGCCATTCTGGGTGACTCCTTCCTGCGCAAGTGGTACAGCGTCTATGATCTTGGCAACAGTGCCGTTGGTCTCGCTAAGGCCAAGTAAACGATGGGTTCATGAAGCGTATTCTCATGGTATGTACGCAAGAAGGAGGGGATGATATCGCATATATTAGCTCGACCCCCTAGCGCGCAGTAATCATTGTTATTATGTTATGGTTCAAGAGATGGGTCAAATTCGAACCCAGTTGTTGCTTTAGTCCAGGCTCTTCCCCACAGATCAATGTGTACTGCCGTGACTAGTTTCGTAATCATCGTGTATGAATTTATACCAGTACAATGAAAGCACAATCAGATCGTGTTGAGATAGAGCATCTTACAGGAGAGTTCGTTGGTCTTTGTTTTCTTTGTGCAACTGAATGATGACGAGGTCTGGGCCGGGAGCCGGTGGTTTTGACGGAAACCCGAGAGTCTCGCCCCCCCCCCCCCCCCGCACAGGCCAATTCCAAGTTCGAAGGTCAGCCAAGCGGCTGATGGACCGACGCTTGGCACAACCACACCCAGTGTCAACCACTCTCTCTTCCCTCCCAGCTCTTTGCCGCTGCTGCTGCTGCTGCTTGCTGGAAAACTTGCTACTGCTCCTCTTCCTCCAGCTATTTTTTGGGGGCGTTCTTCTTGCTCCATCTCCCCCACCCACTTCCACTCACTTCCTTCACCACTGACCAGACTTGACTAGCCTACTCAGTACTTCCTTCCCACTCTCGTGACCTCTCCTCCTACTTTCCCCTTCCACCTGCCCCCCCTCATGCAGCTTTCTTGTTCCTGATCGCATCCCCAATTACCACCCTCTTTCATCATCATCAATCCTCGTATTCTGGTCATAGATTATCCTTTTGACACTCGTCTTGCTAGCCTTCTCCAACCGTGGTTTGTGTTTCGTCGCGTTCGATTCGCGTGGCGAACCATTTGCGACCAGCTGATCCATAGAACTGACCGCGGTTGTCTTTCATTCAACCCCCATCTTTTGACCATCACAGCTTCGGAGCCCTTTCTTTGTGCTTTCGGGTTCGACCTTCTACCTGCCTACCCACCTACCTGAATAGTACATATAGTACGGATCCGAGCAATCGTCTCCCCGTCGCGTCTCTGGATCACAACAGAACCCCAGTTTACTCCGATCCTTCCCTCCTGCCTCCATCTTTCTACAGCGGCTGCAGCGGTTATTGAAGGCGTTGTCTGGGTTTTTATTGCTTCGGGCATGGCTTCCTAGTTCCTTGGCTCGATCTTTCTTCCATCGCGATTTCCGTCATCATTTGTTTTACCCACCACCCTTCCTTCCTCGACTCTCATTCCTGAGAAGGAGGGAAAAAAGGGTTGGTTGATTTCGCTACCGGACCAAGGATCGGTGTGGGCTCCAATATAAATGCTTGTTCGGTTACCATCCAGCCTTCACTACCCGATCACCGTAACGTCGTTGCTCAAACAGCCCGGCGATGCGGTGGAAAGGGAGGATGCGCTGTTCTGGTATGTCTACCAGACCACCGTCACGGAGGGTGACGGGCTGGGAAATAAAGTCGAGGTGAAGCGCAAATTTCCGACCAAGTTTGAGTCACCCGTCGATGGCGAATTGGTTCAGTGGAGGATTGCAAAAGGGGATGTCATCAATGGGCCGTATGTCACCATATTGAACTGGAAACCCACGTTTCGAGGTTCGATTGCTTTCACATCTCGGGAGCTGAGACTGACCTCATCTGCTATGTTCCAGGGTCGATTTCATGGTGGTCGATGAACCATGTGCTCACGAGGTTCAGTTCGGGGGACTTTGCGCAGAGTGTGGGAAGGATATGACTGCGTATGGATCCTAAGCGCGCGTAAACGTTAGGCTATCGACGGATTGCTAATGTTTGAGTGATAGATCCACCTACAACTCGGATTTCCAAGATGTCATGCGCGCGACGATCCCGGTGACCCACGAAAACACAGGTCTGACCGTGAGCGAGAGAGAGGCGACGCGGGTGGAAGAGGATGCAAAGCGCAGCTTGTTGTTAAATCGGAAGCTGTCCCTTGTGGTCGATTTGGACCAGACGATCATCCAAGCAACCGTTGACCCAACGGTGAGGGAATGGATGGAAGATAAAGACAATCCAAATCACAAGGCTGTCAGCGATGTCCGCGTGTTTCAGCTGGTCGAGAATGACCCGGGAGCGCGTGGAGTATGGTACTATGTCAAGTTGCGGCCCGGGCTGGAGTCCTTCCTGCATAACATCTCGGAGATGTTTGAGCTGCATATCTACACCATGGGCACTCGGTCTTATGCGCAACATATTGCTGCTATCATTGATCCCGATCGTAAGCTGTTTGGAGATCGCATTCTGAGTCGAGACGAGAGCGGTAGTCTCACAGCCAAGAATTTACATCGGTTGTTCCCTGTGGATACTAAGATGGTGGTCATCATCGATGACCGCGGGGACGTTTGGCGCTGGAGTCCCAATCTCATCAAGGTCGTGCCGTATGACTTCTTCGTCGGCATTGGCGATATCAACTCCAGCTTCCTGCCCAAAAAGCAGGAACTGGTCTCTCCAAGCACGCCGGGCGAGAAGTCTGCGGCCAAGTCAGTAAAAGTATTGCCCCGTGAGCACAATGCTAATGGAGCTACGTCCAGAGCAGGGGATCAGCCGGAGATGTCAACATTGGAGCAGCTAGTGACAATGGGCGGAGGAGACGACCCTCGCCTACTGCAGGAACAGAGCGATGCACAAAATGAGACGATCATGCATCAAGTCGAAGATCGACCGTTGTTACAGAAGCAGAAGGAATTGGATGCAGAGGAAGACGCCGCTGAAAGTAGTGATTCATCAAGTAGCATGGACGACTCACCGGAGATCAACAAACACCGACATCTTCTTCTGGAGGACAACGACCGGGAGCTGTTTGATCTGGAGGTTCGTCTTGAGCAGGTGCACCGCAACTTTTTCGACGAGTATGACCGGCGGAGATCACGAGCGCTGGGAGGACGAGTGGCAGCTTTGCGCGGCGAGAAGACACCCTCAAAGGACAAGGACGTCGACTTGAAGCTAGTTCCCGACGTCAAAGACATTATGCCGGCCATTAAACGCCGTGTTCTCAGCGGTGTTGTTTTGACCTTCACAGGAGTACTTCCCCTTGGCACAGATACACACAACGCGGACATCTCGCTTTGGTCCAAGAGTTTTGGTGCGACCATCAGTACGAAGATCAATTCAAGGGTGACCCATCTCGTGGCCGGACGGAACCGCACGGCTAAGGTTCGAGCTGCAACGCGGTACCCCAACATCAAAATCGTGAGGACGCATTGGTTGAGTGACTGCTTAACACAATGGAAGCGTTTAGACGAGAAGCCATATCTCCTGCCTGTGCACCCAGATGATCGCGAGCCGCCAATTTCGCCAGGCCAGGAAATGGAGAGTTCTTGGCTGTCATCTGAGGAAGGGACGGGGGTCGCTGGCACGGAGGAGGACGAGCCTGAAATGACGGCCGATATCTTGCAATCGTCTGGGTTGACCGAGATGTCGCCTATTGGGTATGACGCCGATCAACAAGCCGCAATTCACGAGGAATTGAAAGAGTTTCTAGGCAGTGACGACGAGAGCGAGAGTGACAGCGATGCCTCCTTCATGGAAGATGCTCCCACAACGGCGCCCAGCAAGAAGCGAAAGCGTCCGGAGGATACAGAAGATGAGGACGAGGGAGGAGATGACAACGGAGACACGGCGCAAGATGCCGGACCCCCCCATGGCTCGCGACTCGCGCAGCGGATTCGGCGGGTGTATGAGCGGCCCGGCACCGCACTCTCCCAGGCAGTGTCTAGTGCAGCAAACTCGGAATCGCCCAGCAGTGAACCGGAGGTGCAGGCCGATGCGCCTTCGGGATCGCAACCAGCGGACACGATGCCGGCTCCGGAAGAAGAGGATGATGAGCTCGAACGGGAGATGATGGCGGCGTTTGAAGATGGTGATTACGACGCGACGGCCGAGGAGAAGATCGCGGAAGAGAACGGTTGACATTCGTTAGCTAGACGTTGTCTTTGTTCTGTGTGGATAGGCTAGCGGTCATACTACGCTGTTGTCATCGTTGATAGGAGCATTTTTGATTCGAGATCATGCTGGCAAGGCATAGCGAGGGCGTTTGTGCGCGATTCCGTCTACGAGGGGGTCAAACTTCATGGGGGTGTGACATAGGACTCAGGTATAGGGTTTAGGTTTTTCGAATTTGAATGTGTATTTGGATTGAATAAGGTATCGGCATTAATGTAAACTGAGTGTCTTTCGCAGATGGACATATAACTATCGACCAGTAGGAAGAGAAAGAGAAAGACTTAAGAAAGGGAAGAAAATTGAATATGAATACACTTAAGGTAGATTGTTCATACACCAGAGCAGCCAATAAGTCAAGTCATGCAATCATCTCACATCCATCATATCAATGCGAAACATCAAGATCCAAGTCATCCAATCATAGACATCACCAGCATTCTCTCACCCGTCCTCCTCGCACAACTTCAAATTATACTATGTAGAGTACTAGGTAGGTTCCCCAACAAGAAAGGAACCATAAAAAATAAAGAAAAATCATCGATAAATATCCCTATGCACCTGCCACGACATGATCATCATCCACGCATAGAAGATGGTATTAATCAATTCGAACGCAAACGCCGTTCTCCAGCAATTACCTAAAGACCAAGTCAAGATTAGCCAGTCGCTCATTGAAACGTTTTTGGGTTGCGGAACACCACCACCACCACCAAGAACAAAATAAAAACATCCGAATAAACTGGCTTTTTTTTTTTTTTTTCAAAGGGTTTGCAAGGGGGGAACTGGGCCGACATACAGATCGTACTCTCGGTCAACCACGCCAAGGTCTGGAGATTATCGCCGGTGGGGTGGTTTTTCACGAGGATAAAATTCCGGCAGTTGCTGTCGACGTTGGCGACGACGCCGTACATCTGCAGGCTCGTCTCGATCAACCCGGTCAGCCACAGGGCGAAGAGGATGAAACTGCCCACGAGGATGATGCCCGGGAGGAGGAAGCGTTGGGCCGTGAGGACGTAGATTAGGATGATGAAGAAGAGGCCGAGGGCGGAGGTGACGGTCATGTAGGGGAAGAGCCTTTTTTTTGTTGTTGTTAGTTGGTTTTGGGAGAGGGGGGGGGGCTGTGGGTTTTGGGCCGGGGGCTGTGTGGCCTGCCTGCACACTCACCATGGGATATCCAGATGGAGCTCGTTCTGGACGGACATGAACCAGGCGAAGATCCCCAGACAGATGGCGTTGGCGGATAAGACGATGATTAACCAGATGTTGAGCTGGAGTTCGGGCCAGTGGTAGCGCCGGCGTCGGTAGATGCGGACGCCTGCCATTTTTGGGGGGGGCGGCGCTTTTCTCCACGAGCAGCTTTGGTGGTGGTGGTGGTGGTGGTGGGTTCTAGTAACTTAGTGGATGTGATGGATGGTTGCTCAGACTCTTAGTGCAGTGGTAGGCTGGGAGGTGTGTTGTTGGTGGAGAATCGTGTTGATATATGAGTTGATGCTGGGGTTGATATTGTCATATGTTGGTCGTTGGAGGGCTGGGTTGAATTGGGTTGCGTTTGTTGCATTCGAATCGAACAATACACAGATTGCGAGGTTTGATCGTCTGGTAGGTTATATGATGAAACAGTCTTGCGATATATTTAGCTCCTCCAGTAGTTGCGCACACGCTGACCGCTGCTCAGCTCTCCACCCCAGCTTCAGATGATGATGACGGTGTGTGGAGTATACTTCAAGGGCAGCAATAGGGCTGCGGGCCACCTCAGTCAGTCAGGCAGAAACCGCCCACTTTCCCTTGCAGGGCATTCGATTCGATGGGGGTAAGGTCCAGACTCCGTGGTTGTCGGTGCATGGAACGTCGGTCTGGATAGGCGTCACCGAGTAGTTACTGTGGAATGATGGATGGGAAAGTGGGCGAGAGTCAATTGGGCTGTTGTGATGATGATGATGTTGTTGTTGTTGATACGGAGTACTTGTTGCGTCGTTGGGCGGGAGTGGGCCGGTAGCTTGGATTTGCAGGTGCAGTAACAATAACAATCGCCAAACTTAATACCATTCAATCAAACAATCTGTTTCAAGACAGCAGAAGTGTCAAGAGACTAGCTCATTCTTTGGCGTCGGAATTGCAGAAAGGTGAAAAGCAGGAAATGAGGGACAGACAGATCGGGTTTGATCGAAGCATGTGGAATTCGGGTGGCTGGAAATTCGGTGGCAGGGGATTTGGCGCTTAAGTTAGCTTAAGCCTTCCGGTCCAGTGCGGAGAAACTCCATCTATAAACATTTTCGATCTCCAACAAAACACATACACAGACCAATAGTTTTATCAAAGTCATTATCATTGCATTTCATGTCAGTCTAACCTTTTCTCTATAGTATACAGAGACTATAATCTATGTCAGATATAAGTCTTTCGTTCTACAACAGGGTATCACCCAGAGCGCTGCGCACCAGCGAGCAGCCCGTGCGGATCGTGTCGCTGGCGCCCGCTTCCTCCAGACTGGGGTTGACTTCCACCAGGTCCATCGCCACCAGGTTGCCGGTCTCGTGCACACACTCGGCGATGAAGTCGCCCTCGCGGAGAGTCAATCCACCGCGCACAGGGGTGCCCGTGCTGGGCGCCCACTGGGGGTCCAGAGCATCGACGTCGAACGACAGGTGAATGGGAGTGTCGTTACCCACGTGCGCCAGCGCCATCTCCACCACGCGACCGATACCATAGCTGTGGAGTTCATGTCAGACGAAAACGAACCAACCACCCAGAAGAGCAGACTTACCGATCCACATCGTGCATGCTGAAGGCCTTGATGCCGTGCTCGCGCAGCAACTGCTTCTCGCCGCGGTCGACGTCCCGCAGACCAATGTATACCAGCTTGCGGGTGTTGACAATGTGCTCATCCTTCAACCAGCCGAAGATGTCGGGACGCTCCTCGCGGGCCAGGCGCGTCAGGAAGGCCATGGGCATGCCGTGGATGTTGCCGCTGGGGCTCATCTCGGGCACGTTGATGTCGGCGTGGGCATCGACCCAGATGACCGCCATCTCGCGGCCCAGACGCTCGCGGATGGCCTTGGCGGTGCCGGAGATGGTGCCGATGGCGATGGAGTGGTCACCACCCAGGGTCAGCACGAACTTGCCCTCCTTGGCGTGCTCGTAGACCTGGTTGCTCAGCGCCTCGGTCACCGCGCTCACCGCCCGGGGCTTCTTCATGCCGCGGTGGTCGGGGTCCTCCGTGGGCATCTTGTCCTCGTAGTAGTGGACCTTGTCGTCATAGTGCAGCTCGTAGCCCAGGTCGTCGCGCAGTTGATCGAGAAGTCCGGCTTGGACGAGGGCCATGGGAGCAGCCTCGACGCCCATCTTGCACTAAATTTCGTCACAGCGTTCCCGGTCAGTCTTGCTGTTGCTTGCGCCGCCCGCTAGACTCCGCGTAGATCGGCGGCGGCGGCGGCGGCGGCGGGACTAGAGGGGAAACGTACCTGACCGCCATTGAAGCCAACGGCCACTACACCCAGCTCGTTGGGCTTGGAGAGGAAGCGCTGGCGAATAGTGGAGGGAGAAGTCATTGTGTATGTGAGAGATGAGGAGGGAGATAAGCGTCGTAGGACAAGTAAGAGGGAAGGAGAGAGAGGCGTGAAAAAGAAAGAAAAAAAAGTTCTAGAAGAGCGGGACCCGCGCTGATGAGATAAGATCAAATCAAGAATCGGGTGGGGAATCAACTGGAGCCGGGCAAGGAACGGGTGGACCACGGGCAACAACAACAACAACCAGGGCAGAGCAAGAAGCAGAGTGAGAGGCAGAGGAAGCGGAGGGATACTGAGAAAGATTTCAAGGAGGTGACGAACAGTGAGATGATGAGGAAGAAGTCAAAGAACTTCACAAAGGCAGGGGGTATCGGAGCAGTTTATAAAACCTGGCCAAAGAGTGGTCGTGGGGCATTGTGATCGCTAAGACCTGCTTTTAGGGATCAGGACTTCCCCTAAGTACAGGTCGAGGAGAGATGCCCGCCTCGGCCTTTCCAAAACATCTCCACCCCCCTTTCTATTAGCAATCGTTTTCGGACTCCGGTCATTCTCGGGCTGGCTTACAGCTATTATCTTACTGATAAGGACAGATCACTCAGGTTTGTAAGTTGTGGTTAAATCCGACGGGTATCATCATTATCGTCGTCATGCATGAGCGGGCTCAGCTCCGCGGACTCAGCTCCGATCTAGGATCTAGCTACTCTGTCTCCGTACATACGCACTGGACTCGTACATCGGCACTACTATACATCTATTTCGCTCCCTCCAGGATCAGTTCCCGCAATATTGTATCAGCCTTGGGCGCCTCCACCCGCCCTTTCTCTCCCATGCGCATCATCTGTCCTACAAACCAACCCAGTTTGCCCAGTTGGTTCTTCTGTCGAATCTGCTCAACCATCGATGGGTTCAGTGCAATAGCTGCCTCCGCCAATGCGATGTATGCCTCCCGCGACAAAGGCCGCAGCAACAGATTCTCTTCCTCGAGCAGCTGCGGGATCGAGCGCTGATCCCCGTCAAACACCAGAGCCAGCACCTGCTTGGCCGTGGGACCAGTGATGAGCTTTCGTTGCAGATGGTCAAGCAAAGAGGCCAGAGAATCGGCGGGGACGGGCTGTGAGTCCCAAGCCAGTTCCGCCTTGGTCAAGAGGCCGCCCAGTTCGTGCAACACCCAATTGCCAGCCAGGCGCGCCAGTGCCTGCTGCGTCTTCGAGTCCGTTTCCGGGTGCTGTTGACGCAGGAGGTCCACGACATCCTGATAGTATTCTAGTCGAGCACCGTCGTCCAGCTCTACAAGTGGCTTGGCATCTTCAATGGTCAGCCCATATTCCGCTCCGGTCAATAGACTGAGAAGCGCATCAGAGCCTGTTGGCAGTGTCCGTCTGAGCTCCGAGATCAAATCCTCCCCAATATAGACCGGAGGGAGATCAGGATCCGGCATATAGCGGTAGTCAACCTCTCCTTCCTTGCCACGCAATCTGCGCGTCTCAGTGCTGCCGATGGTCCAGCCACGGGTTTCACCTTCAACCACACCACCGCTCTCCAAGACAGCTATCTGGCGATTCTTCTCGGCGATAATGGCGTCCTCGACGGCCTTGAAGCTGCTAAGGTTCTTGATCTCCGTACGCTGTCCCAGACCTCCGATCCCGCCATACTGATGGTTACCGGCAACGTCGCCCCTTTGACGGATGGAGACATTAACATCCGCCCGCAAGCCACCCAATTCCATACCAGTTATAACCGCACTGCAGGATTGTAGGATCGACTGAATCTTTCGCACACAGGCCGCCGCGGTGGCCGGCGTGTGAATCTGGGGCATTGTAATGATCTCGATGAGCGGGTGGGAGACTCTGTTGAAGTCGAGCAACTGCGTCGAGGGAGGGTACTCCTGAGACTTGGCCGTATCCTGTTCCATCTGAATCTGCTTAATGCCGATGCGCACGTGGTCTCCATCCTCCGGGGCGATTCCGTCATGATGGAAGAGATCCACATAACCATTCTTCGCCAAGGGTTCTGCAGGGCATTAGTCCGCTGACGGCAAAAGCTGCAGCTTGCGTGACCGTCTTACCATAGTATTGCGTGATTTGATACCCGGCCGGCTGGTCTTGATAGAAGTAGTGCTTTCGATCGAACTTGCTGACGGGCTGGATGTCACAATTGAGAGCAATGGCGGCGCGCAGGGCGGGGAGGAGGGTTGCGATTTGAAATTCCTGATCAATTATCAGGTGTCAGTGGTTTGATGTGGTGAGCATGTGGTAAAGGAGTAGAACAAACCGGTTGACTGCCGGGAAAGGCGAGATCGAAGAGGGCTACATTGGAGTTGGGGAGTTCCGCCGATGAGGTCGGCGCTTCTATTCAAGGCGAGGCTCAGTCGACTGTAAGTCCTTGAGATAACGAGTTCACCTACTGGAAAAAAGTTTGGCCTCGGTGTTCAGCTGCGCGTGGATCTCAATTCCCACTGTCAACTCCCATTTTTGGCGGGATGCTTCCTCGTCCTCGCGAGTCTGTCGTTTACGCGCCCTGAGCGATTTGGCGTCCTGTTTGAGCTGCTTGCGCAGGGGAACCCGGTCTGTTGACTCAGGGACTGCCGTAGTCTGAAGGGATCGTCGGGGAGAAGCGAGGGTGGCGGAAGGGAGAAGGGATTGTTGAAGCTGTTGCTGCGGCGAGCGGCGGAGATGAAGGCATTGCGGGCAAGTGAAGGAACGAGTGGCTCGCGGCCCTTGGCGCAGCCATGGTCGCAACATGGCGCTCTGGCAGAGAGTAGGAAATAATGGCTGCGTTGACGCAGATAACTCACTTTTCGGTCAGTGGTCAGTGGCTAGTGATGGGGACTGAATGGAGAGATTGGCACCAATTGGTGGTTCTTTCAGTCAGTTGGAAGAAGATAGACGAAGCAACGACGATACACGATAACTACCGTACTTTACAATAAGTTACAGCGGGTATAATACAGTAAGGCCGACGGCGGTGGACAACTCACCGCTTAATTAACAATGCAGATAATTTTTCCTTGGAATGAAGTCTTTCAATCCAGAGCTTCCGATTCGCGATGCACTGGAAACTGGAGAGAAGAAGTGTGTGTGGGAGCAACGCCTTGCTGCATGTCATGCTACAGAATGCAGCGTCGGCCTCGCAGTGCAGTGGAGTTGAAACCCCACCAATACAGTCCCAGTCCCAGCTTTGCAGCGTCACTTTATC